CGATTTAGACCTGTTCGCTAGTTTAAAAAAGCTTAAAAATACTGTTGTAGGGCTAAGCAAAACCAGCTGCTTACGGTTAGCTATAATCTGTTGCGTGGATTAGCGACTATTATACTAATTTTGTAAATGTAAACAAAGTGAAATAAAATTCTAGCTTACCTGTCACGTCTCTCCGCGTTTTTTTTTGCCCTCGATTTCCTTCCTCAAATTCAGACCCATGCGATTGAGCTGTGTATTTTGTTTCTTTCCTCCATGAAGTGACGATCAGATCACAAACAGTGCATACAGTGGTACGAGGAACAATTTAAGCATCTTTGCGCAATTCTTATAAGTCGGCGATATGCATGATAATGTTTCCAAAAGGATCATCTCCGTAGTGCTGACGCCACAACCATTCCTGTAGATAGCTTTAGAAGAGATCTTTGGATGTTCCTGTATGAGGCATGCTTCGTTTGACTTCCCACCATGTATTTTCAATGCGCTGGGTGTGCGCACTTGTGTCTGGGTCTACAAAGTTTAGGCTGTGGTTGACTGTGAGAAGCAATTGGGAGAAAGAAAGAAATTACCCCCCTTCCTTTTATTCACCAGGGACCCACACATGCGATGCACGTTTTCGTGCAGCGTGCAACATGCGTTAAACACATGAATAAGTAAATTGTAATGTTAAGTTTTTGGAATACGAATGAGTCAAGTAAAATAAAAATTATTTTTGGAGGGGTAATTCTCAACTGAACCTCATAGTATAGTGGTGTAGAAGAGAGACTGGTAAGTGAGAGGTGTACGAAAGGTACTTGGTTCGAAACCTGATGGGGTACAAGAAAAAAAAGGAAAAAATCTGTAAGGAGCCTGGGTAATATGGAGAAGAAAAAGGGGGAAGAATGGAGCTAGGGGAAGAAAAGAATCGGTGAAAAGACAACGTGTGATAGCGCGCCACAGCGCGCAATCAAATCCTCTTTTATTCACACAGTAARTAGTAATTATCAATGTATATATTCAATACCTTAGGGAGTTGCTATTGTCTTCAAAAACAATAGAGCGCATACATAATTAATAATTCTGCATACATAATAAATGTATGGGGTTATACGGAAATCTTTCCTGGTCATTTAACAAACGAAACGTTCATGGACATGAGGCTACCGTAATTAAATTTTCAACATGATTTGGGTATCATACATTCAGTGAGGTTGATAATTTATTGGCAATTTTACATATATAAAATTGAATAGATATCTGCAGAGAGGAAATCGAGAAGTGCACGGTTCTCTCAGGCCATGAGCGAGGCACTTGTGCAGGCTTATGCAAAACACCAAGTAAGCCAAGTTGTATTATAGAATTATGTTGACATTAATTACATAATTTTAAGTAGTTATAATGTGGAAAAGTTTTGTTAAAATTCGTGTTTCCCACAACTTAGAAATTCGAATTATAAAACAACTTAACTAAGTGAAGAAAGGTGGGCAACAATTTAAACATACTATTATAGCGTCATACATTTTCTTTAGGCATACATAAATTTATTTGGATGTATTGAAAAGTTCTTTATTTAAATTTTTTTTTAGCCCAGTATATCCTTCCGGCTAAATTTTCGAATACTGTATCCCTGGAGAAGAAGAAAGAAGCTTGGGCCTCAATTGTAGATGCAGTAAATGCCGTGAATGCTGGGGAAAAAAAAAACTGTAGAACAGGTATATGAAAAGAACCCACTTTCATTATCTCTTTTTTTTTCAGCAAATATTGTTTTTAAAATTTATTCAAATATTGAAATATTTCCTAAAAAATTTGAAATTTTATTATTAGGCGAAGAGGCGATGGGAGGACATGACAGGGACAGTAAAGAAGAAAGAGAGTGAAGCAAGAAACAAGGAGTTAAAAAGGTTGAGAGTGACTGGAAATGGCCACTTGGTAGGCTAGCTTCTAAATGTGTGCTAGACTTGAATTATTCCCATGTCACAGAGTTATTAAACAAAGACC